GCAGCCGAGGTTAACTCCTTTTCTAGTTCTTGGAGTATTTTCAACTGACAGATAAATAAATAAATTAGGAATGCACCGCGACTCAAGGTCTATTGTGCCACCTCCCAAGTTACAACGACTCAATTAGCCCTAGCATATTGATAAATTCCAATATACTACTAGATGCTATTGAGAAAATGCGGTCTCTATTTGGAAACATGAAGCCAAGACCCTTTATCCTGCGTCTACAGAATGCTGTGTAGTCAGTTCAACTGATACAACATGTTTTTCAACCTAACCTAAGTGGTGTCTAATATTGAAGTTAATAAATTAGCAACTAACAGTCACATAGCTGTGTTATATTCACATTCTAACCACTTCATGAAAGTTTTTACATTTTATAGTATATTATATTTATTATTTTATGCAATTTTGCATATGAGAAGAATGCGTTCAACTAATTTTATTATCACTTAAAATCGTATATTTTATTTTTCAATCCAATTATTTTTTGAAATTATAATGAAATCAATATTTTACATTTATATCGATATATACACAATTTTTGTATTTTCTGGATTTATTATACACATACATCATATATAATTTTGTTTGATTATAACCTCAACAAAACCTTGTCCACGGTACGCCTGCAAAGCTTTTAGCATGTTTTTTTTTTTAACTTTTACCTAAGCGAACAAAATATATTTGTGTAAACAATTGCTTGTGAGCCCAAAAGCGATATGGTACAAAGAACAGATGCGTAAGGGCCGCAGCGTTGTTACAATAGACCAAGTAAAGACTTGGTGTTTCATTTTCGCCAGTAGGACCTTACTCCGCAGCGGTTTTAATAATACATTGACTTAAAACATAAAGTGATTGAAATTGCAAAACAATTATTTTTGCATAAAACAAATTTCATTTATGATACCAATTGAATGGAAATAAAGGGGTTTTCTAAATACTTGCCACATGGTAAGACATTGTCAATAATATGGGCATGAGTGAACTTATGATATAATTAAAAGAAACAAATATATAAAAATTAAGTGGGTGGTAACGATTATTTGACGATTGCCATATGCTTCACTARTATTGCCACGGTTATCGCCGATGCAAAATATTTGATAACGTACGTATTTGGCTCTGCAATTCGGAATCCATGCGTGCCGCTTCCTGATCAAAGGTATGACGCATTTCGTTCAAGTCTGGCAAATTTGTGCTTTTTATATTCAACATATCATTGAAGAACTTCGTCCAGACGTGTTTTTTTAAGTAACGCGGCAATTTCTGCTTAATGTCCCATGTACCGGCGCGCTTCTGCAATTGCATGTACTCGCCCAACAACATCACATGTACGGTACCGGCTATGCAGAACAAATCCGTTTCGTATGCCCATGGGCGGCCCTCCTGCATTTCGATGCATGTGAAGCCATCCGTTTGTATGACCTTGCGAAACTTCGTCGTATCCGGCTCGGGGAAGAGTGTCATATCGATGGCGCAGCCAAAATCAATAAGACGCAGCGAGGGATAATGATAATCGGTACTGGGTATACGCATTAACAGGAAATTGTCGGGCTTTATGTCCGCATGTATTATTTTATTTATGTGTAGGTGATTGATGATGTTGCATATCTGCGCGGAAAAGTGCATGACCAATGACTCATGCATCACTTTTGTGGTTGCTTGGCGTATCTTATTGTTTATATCGAGTAGTGAGCCAAATGGTGAAAATTCTGTGGCGATAATACTGGCATTCGGCGCTATTATTGCTACCGAAATGTCCATAAGACCCGGCAGTATACTAGATGACTTAACGCGCTTCAACACCTGTAAATGTATAGAGAAAATTTGTAAATTAATTGATTCAAAAAACGTAAATTAAAAAAAAAAAAAAAAAAACGCTTTACTTACTTGATCGCAAATATAGATCTCCCAAGTGTTTGGCGGTTTCTGGAATTTCAACGCCACCACATTTCCAGTATTAGCATCTGTTGCTTTATATACTGAGCCATAGGAGCCACGTCCCACCTCCTTATCAATATTAAATTGCACTCCATCGGGCAAGCTTAGCGTGCGCGTATTCGCTATCTTTGGCAGTGGTGTTTGTACGATTTTGTARTTGGCACAACTATCATCCGAGCCTGGGAAGTCAAGTTTAGTTAGGAATGCACGACACAATTCACTATTGAACGGATCGATAGCCTCCTTGATCAAGTGATGCTCAATGATTTCGTGTGCTTTGCGCAGGCGTCGCTCCTTCGCCTCCGTATCATGTTGTGTGGCAAAATATGAGTTCTCTTGATAAGTGGAAATATCTGCCACCGTACTCGTATTGTATGCTGTTGTAGCATCACGGAAATTGAGGCGTCCCACCGCCGAAGTCAATGAACAATGCGAGTTATCCAATGCAACGGCGCTTGAAAATGAATAATTTGCATTATCATTGAATGTGGCGTTTTGTACAACATCGTCCACAGTATCAGCCGGTTGTATGTGTTCGGTAGTGACAGCGCTGTTGTTGCCATTAGTATCGCCACCATTTTCCGCAGACGAGGAATTACTGCTACTACCAGTGCTAATTGGCAGTTTATTAATACGCTTCAACTTTGCTTTRTAGCGTTTAGAACTGGTTTTGGGTGTTGAAGTGTTATCCATGCTGTACGGATGAAAAGTGTGGCCATTTTTAATTCTACCGAATTCCGGCGTCGATGGTGAAGCAGCAGACACCTAAGCAGTTGCGAAATTAATATATTTAATATAACAATAAATACTAATAAATCACCAGCTGAAATACAAAAGTATTTATATAACTTACCTCCTGCTGGTATATGCCCTCAATTACATAGTTATTTCCTTTTATTGTGTGCCCATGCTGCTGACGTTCCTTTTTGAACTTAATTTTTATAGTCTTATTTTCSCCTAAACGTATTGTGGAAGCTTCAATTTGATCTTCTAAATCATCCAACCCATTGTCCACTTCATTCACTGATTTATTTTGTTGCTGAAATTGCTGTTGCTTCTCATTTTGATAATTTTGTTGTATGGTGTGACGATAAAGATTATGTTGATGATGTTGTTGTTGCAGCTGAATTTGTGTTTGAGAGTATGCACTTATGTGTTGATAATTTTGTGCGATCGGCTCAACGCCATTCGTTCCAGACTGCTCATTTGTACTAGCTCTATGTTTGTGATTATTAGTAGATACATTGACGTTTACGCCTTCATTTGCAACAGKTACTTCTAAATGTTGTTGCAAATGTTGCTGTTGTACAGCACCTATTTCTTGTATTTCTTGCGTTGTAGGTTCAMTCTCCTCAGTTTTTACTGTAATTTCTGCCTTCAGCTGTGCTGCTTCCTCTTTCAAACGTTGCATTTCGGTTAGACGTGTTATGAACTTTTGTGCCCTAAGCTCCTCAGGACTATATTCCACACCTGTTCCAGGATACACTAATTGCTTTGCATAGTGGCAACGACGATTCGGGTCTTCAGGCTCTTCTAGAAATAGTGCTGGTTTCCATGTCTCATAATTGTTGCGACAATAGGCGGCAAATTTTCGCGGCAATTTACAGGGASCAATTGGCGTTGTTGTTGGAGTAAGTGTTTTTTCACATATTGGCTCAACTTTAACGGTATGACCTCCCTCTGTCGGTAACGTAGTTCTATTAGCTTTTCCATATTCTTCTCGCTCATTCGGCGTGCCATTCTTAAAAGTGCTTGCGTCAGCGTGAGTTTCTGGATTATTTTGGTACACGCTAACAGTGGCGCCGTTAAACTGTAATTTATATTATAAAGATTTAATATAATCAAAATGTCAGCTAGAAGAAATATCTAACCTGGTTAGTAGTTTGTTCCGTTGAATTTTGATAACCAGTCGTTTGGTTTTGGTAAGCTTGCTGTTGATACAATTCACTCTGCGTGGACCGCATACTGGCATGCGCGTGTGGCTGATAGTAAGAATTAGAAGCCGTCGCATCGGCAGAAGATTGTTGTCTGTGATAATTTTGGTGTTGAGATGACTGCGCCTGCGTTTGCATTTGTGCAGTTTGTGTTTGTTGCTGTGGATGACTTTGTTGCGGAATTTGTGGCTGCGAAATTGTATGTGTTACGGGTTGTGTTTGACACTGTCCACTTTGTTGATAATGAATCGCATGAGTTTGTTGATGGCTTAACTGTTGTTGTTGCTGATGATGTAGCGCCATTTGAGCAGCATTTTGCATATATAAGAACTTATTGTGTGCATGGTGAAGTTCTTCAAATGTTTGAGCTTTTTCTTGGAATGCTAAGCTAAACACAGACTCAGCTTCTTTTAGCGCATGAATAGACTGATAATAACCCGCCCAACCAATATAGAACGCGGCCACTTGTCTACCAACACCGCGTTGGTATAAAACTTGATAAAAATGCAGTGGGTGTGTTTGCATTTCAATGTACTTTAACCAGAGACGCACCATTCGTAAATCTTGCTTGTAAAAGTCACTGTGTTCAAATAGCGCTAAACAGCGTTCGAGCGTTTCCCTGAACTTATTTTCTGGATCACCGCGCAAATGATTTTCATACCAGCAAATATAATTATACCAGTGATCTAGTGGATCGGGCCCTTGATACATGGAGATTGCATTCTCCCAGGCTTGTTTGTCCCTCAGGAAGCCGTGCATTGAATCCGTAGCTACAAGCACTGGCAAACAAGAATTCATCATCGCCAGCGGCACCAGCTATGGGGCGATAATTTCAAACACTTCCACTTAGTGTTTTTAATGTTTAAAGGAATTAACTAAATTTTTTCTTTGTTTTTACTATAAAATAACTATCAAAAACTAAGATTGAAGTAACTTTAATGCAAAATACGGCAGCTGAAGTAAAAACTCACCTTGACGTATGCTGCAGGGTTGCAYAGAGTGTTTAATTGTGTAACGTTACGTTCTGAAAATTGCTGAAAAAAGAACTTTTTAACTTATATAAATTCTTTTAATATTATTACTTTGCTGAAGGACTAACAATTYATTAAAATGTGATTAAATCCAAGCTAGAAAATAAGATATAATCAAAAATGTTCTAAAAATTTAAATAATTATTGTTATGCAACCCTGCTAACTTACCACCACTTGAAAATGGCCGACACAGGATGATTCGAAGTAATATGTTATTAATTTACTTTCCATTAGAGGGTACGCAGTATATGCAAGTTAAGTGTGTTTTTACACTGAAAATTATAAAGTATGCTCGGTAATTAAAAACGAGATTTAAATCATTGTCTAATATGTTTATATTTGATACTAAATGCAGTAATTATAAATTTTGTTTATTTTATATATATATAAGGAATGTGTTTATTACTTTTTATAAGAATTATAATAATATAATCTTTGCATACATATAATGGTATTGGATTGTAGTTTATAATTATTGATCTCATTGAAGGTCAATGCAATAAATTAAATTTGACGGTTTTTGTTACTGTAGCGGTAGAATTCCCTTATTATTGTTATTTCATTCTTTTATTTTTTTTTTTAAACTAGGTTACAAAAACTTTATAATCAGAAAGCACAAATATTTTATATATATCAGCATGACGTTGATAACATAATGTGCTTTAACCCAAACTACAAATTTTATTAAATAACAAATTATATGAAAAAAAACAATGATCCAATTAAAAATTTAAATATTTGGTACATATTCCTTCTAATCAACCGGTTACCCTTGGTAATTAGATTACCAATCATAACTTATCAGTAATGTACATATGTTGTAAATGGCAATACTATTCATTCACTACTGCAAAATATAAGTGAAAAGATTTTTTTATTAATTTTCTGTTTTAGTTTTAACGTAAAAGATATTTTGCACTTTTATAAAATTTATTTTAAATAAGTGATGCAATGGAGCTTTCTTCTGACCCATATGAATTAAAATTATATCAAATGTTTCAAAGTTGTGACAAAGAGCAATGTGGTTTACTAGATGAAGAATCATTGCGTCGTTTGTGTGGCCTCCTGGAGCTTCAGGACAAAGGAGCAGTGCTTATTGCTGATTTATCTGGCAATGGTCGTGTGTCTTTTGATTGTTTCAAAGAAGCACTATTAAACTTTCTCGGTGCAGAACTCGAGTTGGATACAAAAGAACAATACAAGAAAGGTGACACATACAAGCGCAGTAGCGATGTGATCTCAGCGGCGACGATCATCAATAGTAGTAATAGTAACAGTAACTGTTTGGCAGATACTAAAGGTAAATGTATAATAATAGGCATAACACAAACAACGATGTCTCCCACAGAAGTCACCTTGAGATCAAATACGATAAGTGCAGTTATTTATTTTATCAATCTAATAACAATTTTTGCATATTATCTAAAGAGTGAAAGCTGGAGTATTGATGAAACAATGCACACATGTGAGTGTATGTGTGTATGCATCTGTGCATGTACACATGGTCATTTGTAGCCACTGATTTTCAAATATTTTAGGTAATCAACACTAATCATATGAAAACAATGAATATAGCGATAAAAACAACATGCTATGGTTATGGGTAGGTAAGCGWTAGTACTTAGCAGTTTTTGAAAACACGCATTTGGTTCAATATTTCTAAAAAGTATTTTCCATGCACTTATGCTGATAATGTAAATTACAAAGGACACTAGCCCTGGATGACATCCCTTTGTTTATCTTGTTTTGCATCTTCTATTTCTGGGAATTTAAGCCCGTGTCAAAGTAAGTCGCGATTTATATAGRGGATTTTAGACAAAATGTCTGCATTTACCTGCGTGAGACCTAACTGATAAATCATAAATAGGCAAACGCTTGTTTCGTGTATTTAGTTTGTTTCCATATTCTGTCAAAAGTGCAAGTGCTCTTATGAATATAACTAAAAGTTATAACTAATTCAAAAAAGGTTTAGAGATGGGTACTCTTTTTTATTACAAGAAGAAAACTAACATCTACGATGATGACACGAGTGTAGACGCTTTAGCAAACATTCTAGGTATTTGTTATAACAAATTTATTAAATAATGATAAATTTTTGGTAAAATTGCTAACATTATAACTATTGTTACAGAGCGAACTCTAGTCATATGTGACACGAATGAAGGAACTAAACCTGTGGAAAGCGACCATGCGGTATCCGATCGAGAAGTTTCACCGAAACTTGTGATGGGCTCAAAAAAGTATGGTCGACGCTCGCGACCTACAGGGCATAAAACAAAGAATATATCGCTGACAGATTCTGACGATGATATTGAGAGTAACGATCACAGATCATGCGAAATAAATGTACACAATTGTCTATCATCGGTAAGTTTACATCAAGCAATTGCTAAATCTATATCATATTAAATTAATATAATCTCAAAATATATAGGTGCAACGTTCATCTTCACAAACTGACATTCCTAATAAAGGGAGACGCCGCCCGCCCACAACAAATGGTGGTGGCAAACTAAAGCGCTGCTCCTCTTTGCCCACGCAACGAAGCATGCAGCATAAGATCAATTCTAAATCCTTAAGCTCGAGTATTCAAAAAGCAGATCTTTGGGACAAGCGTCAACCGAGACAAGTGCTATCGAGCAGCATGGAATCGTTGGGTAAATATATTGCCTAATAATTCTATATACAAATAACTACATAGTTAACTTACAGAATCGCCACCATTGACGGAACCTGAAACATTGCCTGTGCACAGAATACTAGATATATTCGAGGGGGCGGAAATTGCGAATGGCAGGGGTATACTACTAGCTCTCGGCTTCGATGACGACGAGGTTAATGTGGCGCAATTGAACAAGGTCTTGGAAGAGGAGTTACGTGGTTTAGATGATGACACACAGCTGGCGCTAGTACGTGCCTACATGGCTTTGCAGGCGTCGGAAATGACAGCGCTACGTCAGAACGTACGCCAGTTGCATGACGAGAACAAAAAGCTACATTCTAGTAATAAGGACGCAAATCAACGATTGGCGCTATTGGCAGCTGAAATTGACGAGCGACATGCATCCTTGGAGGATACCTCAAAAAAAGAGGTAAGTTTAAGAATAATTGTTTATGCTAAGACATCGCTAACACGTAGTTCCTTAAGCAGGTACGATTGCTTGAACAACGGCATGCTACACTGGTGCGAGAATTGTCGACGCGCATGGCAAATGATCGTGAAAATTGGAGCAGTTTCACGACGCGTCTAGAAGCGCGCATCAAACAGCTGGAGCAAGAGGAAATCAGAAACAAAACCGAATTGGAGTTGGTACGAAAGGAAAATTGTGAATTAGAAAGTGAGCACCAGAAGATGCAAAAGCAAATTACAGAGTTACTTGAGAAGAATGTGCAACTAAATCTACAATTGGCAGATTTAGATAGGGACACTAGTACGGATGTTCGAGAGAACCGCAATGACAAGCGTGTGGATGAAGATGAAGAAGTCGCACGGCTAGTAGAAAAGGTATCCGAATTGCAAGTAGATAATAAAAACTTAAGAGATAAGACTGATGAATTAGTAGCCGAAATAGAAAGCTTGAATTTGGAACTATTGCGAACAAAATCGAAGAACAAAAAATCTATAAGCAACACAAATTCATCTACAACGTTAGATGTTGGCAGTGTGGCTTTGGATGATGCAGAACAAGCAGCCAATCTAACTGCTACGAAGCGACGCGGTGACTCACCAAGTAAAACACATATCACAGAAGAAAGTCCACGTTTGGGTAAATTACGGAAATGCACCGATACGGCCGGCAGTGAGGCAAGTGACACCAGCGGCGAGTGGATGGCACTCAACTCAGAGTTGCGCGAATCGGAAACACACGCAAATAGTGCGACAGATAATGTGAAAGATTACCTGGAGCAGATTTCCACACTCAAGCAGAAAATAGCGGAGCTTGAGGCACAGCAGAAAACACCGGCTCCATCCAGTGAGGGTATATCAACCGATGAGCGCTGTAAAGAGTTAGAAGCCAGTTTAGAACAAATGCAACGTGCTTATGAAGACTGCGAAGATTATTGGCAATCGAAATTGGCCGAAGAACGGCAATTATTCGAGAAGGAACGTCAAATCTATGAAGAAGAGCAACAGGAGAGTGATAAAAAATTCACCGAATTAATGGAAAAGGTGCGTGAATATGAGGAACAATTCAGTCGCGACGGTAGACTATCACCCATTGAAGAAAAGGATGCGCTGGAGCAGCAATATGCCGATTTGGAGGCCGAAGCGAATGATTTACGCGAAACGGCAAGAAAAATGTTCGACGAAAAATGCAACGAAATCGAGAACTTACAACGAGAAATCGAAGATTTGCGCACTAGACTGGGCGAGAGTGTCGAAATCCTAACCGGCGCTTGCGAATTAAACAACGAAGCTATGGCAGTGAGTGCTTTACATATTAATCCCGATAAACAGAGTCCGGCCAGTTCGCCGATTAGTTATTTGTGGCATCAGAGTACCATACAAGAGCCAGCTAAAAGTTATAATACCGTTTTTCCACCATCACCCGAGTCGCCAACGCGTCAAGCAAATCGGTAAGTTTACTCCCTCTATTGCGTTGGATTTTTTTCGCCTTAACCTTACTTTAAACAGTCAACATAATTTTTCATTGAAGCTCTCCTAACTTATTATGCCCCATAACTTTTTTTTTTAAAACAGATTCCCTTTATCCATGCGCATGGAGCCTAAAGACATGAAACGTAGCGAATTGATTAGATAGTTCGGATATAAGAAATTCGCATTTTAGGATTACGAATGCTTAGACTACTTATTTATAACTGCTTTACATTTAAAGACTGATTATTCCTTGGTTGGTTGGATAAATAAACGATAATGATGGTCCATTGCTCACGTTGGTTGGCTACCTCACTCAGCCTTGTTCTTGCATTAAGGTTTCATGAGGTGAGGTTACTGGGGTACACAGTGATTTTTACACTTTTTAACGTGAGCAAGTGCTTTCGTGCTTCCGCAGAAGCTACTCTTGGTATAATAAATTATGACAAATAAAGAAAACGTTTTAATATGACATTTATGTGAGATTTTGTTTGGAGGACATAGATATATCGCTTACTCATAGGCAATACTATCATATGCTTTTGAGGCACTGTTTTTTGTTGTTGGTGGTTGTTGGGTTGGTTACTATACTTGCCTTGGTTTTTAAGGTGCGTTTATGAGTATTTTTTTATTTTCAATATTCGCAAATTTTGAGGAACGGAGCTCTTAGGGGTTTATCTTATCTCTTTGTGAAATTTTCGCATCAAAATRAAAAAGAAATAGGTTTGCCGATTASTTATTACGTAGCTGTGAATTTAAGAATTTTGAATTTTTGGTTATTTGCTTTGAAGGTTTACTTTCTTTCGCCTTCTCGTTGTTGCTGTGCCGGCAGAAAGTATTTCTCATAGTTTTCGAGTTGGCGAACCCCGATGTTGTAGTGTCAGAAAACATTCCTTAAGTAATTTTGGGGCATGGTGCCAAGTAGACAGTCCTTGGTCGGTTAAAAATTCGGATACATTCCGGTYATTTAGATCCGAATGACGTGGGAACGCTAAAAAAGTTCATTCATTGCTGCAATGTTTTTGGCCTTTTCCTCTGATAAAAGATAAATTTTAAAAAACATTTTGATCAAATCAAAAAAATGTGTGGCTGGAGAACTATATACAGAAAATAAAATATTATACGGATGGGATGATTTTTCTCCGWGTAATCACTGCAGAGAAATTCGAAAATTGTTGTGTCGAGAAATGTCATTGAAAGATAAAATGATTAAGGGATTAAAAAACAGTATTTTCCAACAATTTTTTCTCACATAAAAAATTAAATATTTTATTAGAATTTTTTATTGTCACAAACATACAACAAGGAAATTCTAAAATTTTTGAAAAAAAAAAAAAATTTTAAACTCGGCCATTGCATCGTCATTTGAAAAAATATGCTCCCGCGTTGGCAATATACCAACTTACAGGATCATCTAAAGTGGAAAAAAACTTAAAACCTTAACTTGGACGAAGGAAGAAAAAACTGAAAATTGGATTTTGGGCAGAAATTTAAAAAAAATAAAATAAAAATGATGTTTCGGTGAAAATTTCGCAACAAATTTTTTTTTTTTTCAAATTGTAATCAAAAAATCCTTCGTCCAAGTATTTAAGAATTTTATCTCAAAGACCTGTGTAAAATTTCATAAWGATCGGTTGAGTAGTTCTTGAGAAATCTTGACAACCGACTTCAAAAACCAAGTTTTGAGAAACACGCGTTAAAAGGCGGCACACTTAGCCAGCTAGCCTCGAGCGCATAAGTTCTCAAATGCTCCGAAATTATTACTCGGATACTGAACTGAAAATTGAGACACAAGAAATTCGATTTATTGAAACCYGTAAACTCATATAACCCCTTAAATGTTGTTTACCTGCTTTCTCATTGAGTAYTTTATGGCATGCACCTCTATAAGTCGTTTATATATGTACATACAAAAATATSTATATARCGCCTTTATATCACAACTATCGTGACAGAAAAAACCCATAAYTAGTATTGGATTAAATGTAGCTTCAAAATGAGTGCAACCTAACCTAAAATTTAAAATATATAATCATTAGTAATTGCAACAATTTAACAAAAATTGAAAAGTCTGCAAATTTTACGCAACTTTAAAAATTTTAGCAACAATCTAACCACATCGGAGACCACCATATTYAGCACCACACCCGTTGACACTATTGCACCCATACAAAAGCCCCCCGGATCCAATTCCAAGCAGTCTGAGTCGGAAACGGATGAGGTCTCYTCGACAGCCTCGGGCAAAAGCTCGGAAAGTCACAGTCCGGCATCCACGCATAGCGCACGTCAGTCACAGCAACAACAATTGAAGAAATCACCTAGCACGGAGAATAGCATATCTAGTCTCGGCATGAAGGAGGAGCTAAAGCGTTTGAAGTTCTTTGAGATATCGTTACGCGAGCAAGTCAAGAATTTGTCGCTACAAAGGGATGGCTTGGTTATGGAACTGCAGCAGCTGCAAGAAGCGCGCCCAGTGCTAGAGAAGGCATATGCTGTAAGCAATATAATATATAATTGTTTGACTTTTTTAATTTTAATTTTTTTAATTTTTTTTTTCTAATCTCTCAACTAATCAGCGCACACCACATCCGAGCGTTATACAGCGTGTAAACCAGTTGGAGCTGCGTAATCGTCACTTGCAAAACGCTATCAAGCAGCAACAGCAACAAACAGAATCCTTGATGCAACGTGCGTAACAACAACAATATTAATGTTTGCTAAAAAATWTATTTTTAAATTGTGCTCTTTCTCCACACTAGGCTCGTGGCAGCAGCACCAAATGGAGCTGGCCGATCTGCACAACCGCATCGAGACACAAGGCTCCATGCTGGCCGAACAGGTGCAGCGCTTGCAGAACGCCGATATGCTTGTTAAAGATTTGTACGTGGAGAATGCACATTTGGCCGCGACCGTGCAACGGTTGGAGCAGCATCGTGCGCGCATGAACATGATGCATCAACAGCGTCAGGGTCTAAATGGTTTGCCGGGAATGCCTTAAATATATTACATTAACATATTACCCAAAGAAGTGGATATATTGCGTTAAAGAAAGTGTTTATTTTTTTTTGTTGTTTTACGACTAGTTAATATTAAATGTAAATGTAAGCAAGCCTTAAATGTCCACGTTTCAATGATGTTATAACACAAACGGATCCAATGTCGCACAACTGCTCGTGTTTGGCACCTGAAATTACACACACACACACACTATTCACACTGAATATTAGTAATAGGTCTAACATACAATACATATATGTATGTATATGGAATGTAGCTATCGTAGCATTTTACGATACTAATAGTTGATAGGTAGGAAAAACGTGTGGTAATAACGGTGGTATTCATGACATGCCCATATAATAGTGTACTCTTTTATTCTGTAGATATTCAAAGCGAGTATTAAATAATTTTAACCCTTACTCTGTGGACTTATGTGAACTTTTCCATATTTTTTCTTTTTGAGGTATTTTGATTTCTTTTGAATCATACGCAGAAAAAAATATTTTTTTTTTTTTATTATGACGTAAGCAGTTTTTATGCGTAACATATATACTTACATAGTGAAATGAAGATAATTTAATTAAATTTTAAATTTCTGCATAAGTGCTAGTTTGGTGTCGTTTTTTTTTTTGTTTTTGGTGTTGTTTATTGAAATTTGTTTGTATTGATTTTTAAGCGTATGCATGTACCTATATACTTTTTATTATTTATTTATTGAAAATTCTATAATGTATGTTYTTTATTTGTATTTAAGTAGTTAAAGCGGAATTATGTCTACCAAACTGCAACAACTGTGGACCTAGCGAATTAAATTTTAAATTCTAAACTTAACATACATACATATATACACTTACATTGATTCCTAAATGCCATATGCCTAAGCTCGTAATAAAAAGACACGATAATATTGTTGTTTGTTATAAGAAAAATGCAGAAAATTGCAATAAATTTGCATACCGCAACTAAATTCACACAAAACATGTTTGTTCGTTTCCACGCAGTCGTTGAAAGCAAAAATCATATCGAAGTTAGAAAAACAATTTATATAGGAAATAATGTAAACTCAATAGCTGTTTAAACTATTAAAAGTATTAAAACTTCATTTAATTTAATGCACTTAAGTTGACTTGTATATTCGAATCGGAAATCACATACAAAATTACCGAAAGTCTTAAATGAATATCCCTTCCTCTCTACTTCGTATTTTACATATATACACTTACTACATAACTAAAATAATATGTACTCGTTTTTATCATTTGCAAGATATCTTAATAATATATATTATATAATGTGTACTGAACTGCACTAAAATGTTGAAATGAAGTAAAATAAAACAATGAAATAACAAAACCAAAAAAAAAAAA